CAAATGAATACAGATAGTAACGAATACAGCAAATCATCCATCAAAGGCGGATTGAAAGATGAAGGTTTTAGAGTGGCTCCGGCACAAGGCAGGAAGATATAGAAGAGTGCTTCTGCTGCTTTTACTAGTTATGCAAAAGCAGGGACATCTGTTTCCTACAATTAAAAAGCAGGAGCAATGTCCTCTTCTGCATTTGGCCACTTCACTCCAACAGGACAAGAAGCCCTCCTGTAAAGGACTGCAAAGCACAGGACTGTCCTAAGATGTGTTGCTGTCTGAGGCAAATAATAATAATAATACAGTACAAATAAAAAAGGTGGTGCCCCTTCCCATTCCTGGTGCAAAAGAATAGTGGCCTTGCCACTGGAGATTTCTTCAGTACTAGTGGCATAAGAGTTATAAGAATATAAGAATAGTGGCCTTGCCACTGAAGATTTCTTCAGTACTACTGTAGTGGCATAAGAAGGTAGCAGAGTAGTTTAGTGGGCAGAGTTCTCCTCACCCTGCTACTGCCACCCAATGGCTAACTCAAGCAACTGCCATTCTCTGCCTGTTGGTAGGGCCAGCACTGCCTAAGCATTAACTGAGACTTCCATCAAACCTTCTTCAGTGCCTCTTAAGTGTTGAGGCAAGTTCATACAGCAAGAGATGCTCCTTGAGGTTATCAGGATTCAAGTGGTTTATGGCTTCAAAAATAGAAAACAGTACTTTGAACTGAACTTCAAACATGAATGTGACTGTCTTGGGAGAGACATTATATGACAGTGTTGATTGAAGTTTCACAGCTATTGTGCAACGGGGTTTGTTTTTCTTGGAAATGAGTTTATCAAACCTCATCAGGAACAGCTTTGTATCTACTATGTTGTTGTTTAGTCATTAAGTCGTGTCCGACTCTTTGTGACCCCATGGACCAGACTACCCCAGGCCCTCCTGTCTTCCACTGCCTCCCAGAGTTGGGTCAAATTCATGTTGGTAGCTTCGATGACACTGTCCAACCATCTCGTCCTCTGTCATCCCCTTCTCCTCTTGCCTTCACACTTTCCCAACATCAGGGTCTTTTCCAGGGAGTCTTCTCTTCTCATGAGATGGCCAAAGTATTGGAGCCTCAGCTTCAGGATCTGTCCTTCCAGTGAGCACTCGGAGTTGATTTCCTTCAGAACAGATAGATTTGTTCTCCTTGCAGTCCAGGGGACTCTCAAGAGTCTCCTCCAGCACCACAATTCAAAACATCAATTCTTCGGTGGCCAGCCTTCTTTATGGTCCAGCTCTCACTTCCATACATCGCTACTGGGAAAACCATAGCTTTGACAATGCGGACCTTTGTCGGCAAGGTGATGTCTTTGCTTTTTAAGATGCTATCTAGGTTTGTCATCACTTTCCTCCCAAGATGCAGGAGTCTTTTAATTTCGTGGCTGCTGTCACCATCTGCTGTCAACATCTACTATGTTACAGGAAGTTACCAAAGAATAAGCATTAGTGTTTAGGGTCTCCAGTTTCTAATAGTGGTGGGCATTTGCTGTATTATTTGAAGCTTTATTTTTCAAAAAAGACATTCTGAGCTATGAGAACTCTCTGGGATAAACGGTCTAAATACTGATTCCATTCAGGGGAAAAGCTAGAGCTGGGCCCAGCAAGTGCTTTTGCAACTCTACTGGACTTCCCTACCCCTTTGCAAAGAGGGTCTTCCCTAGCAAAAAGCAGGTGAACTGTACTAAATATCCTTTGATTTATATCTGGCCACCAGCCACAGACTACGCTAAAAAGACATGGTGGTCTCCAAAACCTTTCAACGATGGTGTTGCATCTTGGAAACCACTGGGCTGAGGTTAATATACTTTTAAAAACAGTTCTACATTGAATTCTCCCACGCATATGAGAAATGAATATTGTTCCATTTCAAAGAAAGAGTAGTTTAGCCATAAAAAGGTACATACTCAAGTGTATTATTTCAATTGTCCAGAACATGACCTTTCTGACTCTGTCCCTTCATATCCTATTTATAGTCTAAAGTAGGTTTGTATACAGCACTAGCACTGTCTTCTTGTACTGCTCCTGGCTGGCTAAAGACTGAGAAAAGCAAAGGAACTTGCTGAAGGTATAATTTCTCCTGTACTCTTTTCAAACCAGGCAGCAAGCTTTAGAAAATTATTTCTGCTGATGTGTTGCATTTACTGAGTGTCTACAGCACACACAACAGGGCTGCTACTTCTATTTAGTGCACGCTCCACTTTTGTTCATAGTGTTAATGTCTTTGTAAATCCAGAATTTCCTATGGGCTTATAAAAGTTAATCAGTGAGTGAGTGGCCTTGCTGGCTGGAGTATTCTAAGAGTTCTAATCCCCAGAAAGTAATCTTTGCAAGCTCTCCTTATAAGAAATGGGTAAGAGTTGAACTGATCTGTCCGAGGACAACTGTGTTCTGCTGCTGTAGCAAACTGTACACACCGCCTCCCACAAGAATCTTGGGACACCTTGCAAACCATCACATTTTATTGGCAGTGTCTTAAATGGACTGTAGCCTACTTTATCCCATGCACAAGAGTGTTACTTTATTAGGAAGATATTTCTCATACATGATTCAGTGGCTGTCCTCGTATAAGAACTTGCAAGGGAGATTCCAGTGGGAAACAGCTGAACAAGAATCACCAAAAGGGCTGATTCTGTTTCTTGGAGTTTGAATATGGACAAAGTCTTTTTAATCTCACTGTATGTGTTAATCCATCCATCAGTCCAGGTAAAGGTAAAGGTTCCCCTTGACAATTTTTGTCCAGTCGTGTTCGACTCTAGGGGGTGGTGCTCATCCCCGTTTCCAAGCCATAGAGCCAGTGTTTTGTCCAAAGACAATCTCCTGTGGTCACATGGCCAGTGCGACTTAGACATGGAACGCTGTTACCTTCCCACTGAGGTGGTCCCTATTTATCTACTCACATTTTGCATGCTTTCGAACCATTAGGTTGGCGGGAGCTGGGACAAAGTGACGGGAGCTCACTCCGTCGCGTGGATTCGATCTTAAAACTGCTGGTCTTCTGACCCTGCAGCACAGGCTTCTGTGGGTTAGCCCGCAGCGCCACCACGTCTCCCCATCAGTCCAACCACTAGCCAAATGTTTGTATAATCACAGTTTAAGCCACTTTCATTGCTAGTTGCTTTTGTATTTCTCAGTCTTCTGGCCATTTTAATTGCAATTCCTTGTTCAGAAAGCTCAAAGGTCAAACACTTTCTCTCATTCCTGCACAAAACCTTTTCATTATGTCTCTGTGAAATTTACTGGGATTCACTGTCATCTCCCAATGACTGCTTAAGTGACCACCATTAAAATAATCCTTGATGTCTTAATATCTACATAGATCATTTTATGGAACTAATTAAGTGGGCTATAAACCACAATGCTTGTGGCAAATAAAACTTCAAATTGTGCTCAGCAAGAAAACAAGTTTACAGATACTGGATTAAAAATATTTCATAGGGTGGGAGGGGAAGTAAAAAAAATTGAATCTGGATAGTGAAGCAAACAAAGATGAACTGTAAACATGTCACAAGATACAACAGAAGAAAACAGTGAACAGCTGATGTTTCTAACGCACTGTTGATCAAAGCTGCCTTTTCTTTACAGTGTTTATCCTTTTCTATTTTATGTGGAAACTGCATGAATAAATCTTACTAACTTCTCTTCCACGTGCATACACAAAATCTGTGCATGCAATGCCATCTGCTGGCCTTATCCTTTTCTATTTTATGTGGAAGCTGCATGAATAAATCTTACTAACTTCTTTTCCACATGCATACACAAATCTGTGCATGCAATGCCATCTGCTGGCACAAAGATGTATTTTTGGTTTCAAAATCTGATACTGCATTTGTGACTTGCCCCATATTAGGCAACATTAAACTAAGTAAAGACAAAATATGGGTATATTTATTCCAAGCCAAACACAAAACACCACTCCATAGGAAAATGTCTTACAATACCGCTGTTAAATGTTCAGAGACTTCTCATCAGATTTCTGGTGAACCTCAGATGGCTTCACAAGCAGCCACCTATAGTTACCAACAGCAAGCAAGCATGCCTCTTGCTTTTCCAAAGAGGCACATGATTTGGATCAGAAATCCTACACTAAGACTAAACCTGGAACTATTAACCTATGATGTCACAGGTGCCAGGGCATAGCAAGGAAAACATTTGGAGAAAAAAGGTAACATCAATACAAGAGGAAGGACTATCTGGCAATCTTCAAGTAGCAGCAACTGGGGAAAGTGGGTGTTAAGAGTGATCTTAAAAGAGGAGAAATCTGTGACTCTCACGAATAAATCTTGCATGCTGGGAGTGAGTGGATTTGGTGTTCTGTGTGTGTGCAGTAAATGTGTGAGTGGTGATCCTGAACAAGAGAATTGTGGGTTTTTGAGGAGCAGCTCTATGTTTTGGGGCAAAAATCCACTTTTATCATTTATTCAGTATCTAGGGCATACTCCCCCCCCCGCCAGATATTAAACTTTCCATTCTTGCAGCTCTGAAACATGTCCACATATTACAATATACATGCAGTGGCCAAAATCCTGTTGGGTGAAGACATCAAGGACAGGAAGAGACTGTGTATGATTTAAGAGTTCCTGCAACAGTTTCAGGGGTGACTGATTCGTCCACTATCCGTCTCATTTCAGGTGAGTCACAGGACTAAAGTAGGGACTCTTGAATGACTGATGATGCCCCCTACTGTTAATGTGATCACCCTTACATAGGCAGAATTTACTCAACAGAATTTCACTCTGTATTTGTGTAACCAACTGTAGCTCCTCTGCATACAACTGTAATTCTGGAGTCTTTTCTATCAACTGCTTCTGTATATCTCAGAGTATGTTGCTCAAGGTAAATCACTTCCATCTCCATCTGCAAAATGGAAATATTATGACCTACCACACAGAGGTGTGGATTAATAAACAACTTAAATGAAAGCGCTCAGTATTAGGAACCTTTTAAAAATGACTCCATAACAAACAAACAAGGTAGTTTAATAGAAAAGATGTTTAATATACAGTATCTCTTAATTTTTTTTTTAAAAAAGGAAGAACTACTTTGACATATTGGGTTTCCTTTTGCACATGTGCCTCTCTTTATTTACTCACATGAATGTTCAAGGTACTGCTGTCCAAGACTTGCTTTGACAGGCTCCAACATGGAGTCTGTGTGCAATAACAGATCTACTGCTTTTGCAAAAGTCTTGTGTGGAAAGTGAAATACCTCACTCAGCAGCCAAGCTGACATTAGTAGTGTTCCTTCACATCATGTGCATCACTTGAGACACTCCATACTAAAGCACCATTCATTTGTAAGTGACTGGGAAAGAGACGTAGGAATTCTACTCCAGGTATTCTCCTCTAACTCGGCCCATTTTCTGAATATACTATTAGCACTGCCAAATGATTGGCTTATTCAGTCAAATAGATCTTTTATGTCAGTTTGCTGAAAGAGGGCCCTTGTGCTTAACAGCAATTACAGTAGGAACCTCCTATCTGCAGAATCAGTATCCACAGATTCATTTATCCGCTGCCTACAAATACTAAATTAAAAAATCTCAGAAATACATATTTCCAGGGTGTATTTACCTGAACTGGCCACTAGAGGCTGCTAGAGAACATGCAATGTACAGCATTCGATACATTCATGTTTTCCAGCATCTGAAGGGGTGAGGGCTTGGAACCAATCCCTGTGGATATCATGGGTCTACTGTACTGACAAGCCCTTCTTTCTTTTTATAACCATGGAAATGTTTTAAATCCCTCCTCCCTTGGTTTTCTTGTGAAGAGACAAAAGAAGCCATGGTGTTATAAGACAGTATAGAACTATTAAGTTTACCTTTAACCACAGAAGAGGAACCAGAATTGAAAAGCAATCGTTTTACTTTAGGGGCTTAATTACACTTATGCTAAGGTAACACTTCGGAATAAATTGTTTCCTTTTTTTATAGTAAAGAAAAATAGACACAAATCTGTTAACAAACCTACTGCATATAACAAACATTGTTATTCATACAAGGAGAAAATGTGAAAGCCGTCCTTTCCTTGTCTCTTCAGGCAGGACTTTGGGACTGTAGACATTTTGCTGTGTTGTTCTCTTCATGGAGAGAAGCAAATCCAACCTGTGCTTTCTGGGAGTCACAAAACGATGCTAACCCATCAAGTAGCCACTGAAATACAAAAGAGAGATTTGAACAGGTAGATATGTGTGTGTGTGTGTGTGGAGGGGGGCAGCACTATATACAGGGCTTGAAAAATGCACTTGTCCACTCATCTGTGACAAGTGAAAAATGCTGCTTGATGAGTCACATCTCCGTCCCTGCCTGTCTCTTTCCCCTCCGACTGTCTCTCTCTCTCTCTTTCTCTAATCCCACAGTCCTCCCCTCCCCCCTCCCACTGCAAAAGGAAAACTGCCCTCTTCTCACGAGAAGAGAGTTTGAGCGGTACAGAGAGATATAGCTCTGCAGAAGAATGCAGAGTAGTCCCATGCTGGAGAATATGGAGATTCCCTGCTCCCAATTTCAACATCCTGGGGTGGGAGGGAACCATGGCTCCTTAAGAGGCCTGGCGCTTTTGCTTTCCCTTTTATTTTTGCCTTGTATTTTGAATGCCTTCTTTAAAAAAGAAGGCATTCAAAATACAAGCTTCATGATCCCACAGGCACACAAGTAATAGAGCAACCCAAGTCTGAGGGTATAAATCAGTGATTCCCAATCTCAATAAATTATAAGGCTATAATCCAGTCATGCTGGTTGGTGAAATTTTTGATTGACTGATGAGACATTCTAAATTTTTTCAAGCCCTGACTATATAGTAGGCTTCATGAGTATGGTTCAGTCTGATTTTTATCCAAATATTTGTTAAATATGCTGGGACTGAGCCCCACTGACCTGGCCCGCCGATGTCTAATTGGGTTCATGCAGAGCTAAGACTTGGCACAAGCAGTATGCAAAGTCACATTTTGACAATGTGGTGAACCTTTAATTTATAGGCAAAGCTCTCGCCGCCTCAACTTCCTTTTGTCCCTCCCCCATTTAGCTGTGCACTCTACTCTGTCACTCTGCATCAGCTAGCAAAAGCATTAAAAAAACAAAAAGCAGGAAAAAATGGGAGGTGAACCAAGAGAGTATCTAGCACCACTTTGACTTATTCAATCAGAGCCTGCAGAAGAGGCTCCATCTATCTCATTTAATGAAAGCTCATGAATAGCAACAGAATCTACATCCTATTGGGATTTTACTTCACAGTAAGTAAAACTGTGTCAGTTGTAGCAGCATATTGTGGCTAAGAAAGTCATGGTTATCTGCCTGCCTGTATGATTGGCAAGTGACCAAGCAGACAACCAGGCAAGCCTTCCCTCACTAACTGGCCACCTGCATGTAATTTTTAGATGGATGAATATGCATTACTGCTTTGCCTAGATTTTAAGTACTACTTGTGTTTTCCACTTTTCCGAGAGGCATTTTTTAATTTTATACTCATTCTTCTTAGCCAAATACTGTCTTTTACTTATGTAAATCACCACTGTATATTCATTGTTTTCACCTTTCAATATTGTATTTCAAGGTACTGTAGTAAGCTGACTTGGGTCCTTTTCAAGGAGAAAGGGGGGGTAAAATATTTTAAATACTTTATTAATTAATTGTAATTTGTTGGTGCCATTTACATAATTTCATCTGTCTCAGAGTAAAATCCTAAAATGATTCTGGCCATTCTGAACCTTGATAATATTCTTCAATAACCTTTATTAAAAGTTTTAAAATATTGCTTGATCTTGTAACCAGGTGACTTCATAGACATGTCACCTTTAAGTACCATGGAATTACTCCTACCCAAGAATGGATATTTGTTTGTTTTACTGAAAAAATGTCCACGGCGCTATTTGGGCTTCCCCAAAATAATTTCTTTTAAAAATACAAAAATAAATTGAAAACCAATTTAGCACCAATTACACTTTTATATTATGATAAGATTAGGAGGAGGATTATAAGAAATATACTTACGGTAGTTTCATACGCATAAACACTCTGGCCATAAAGAAACTTAACAGGACACTGACGAATCCAATGAAAAGCAGCAGAAATCTATTCAGCTTTGGGATATTGGGTGCGTTGGAACGATCAAGAATTATAAAGCCAAGGCCTCCCATTGTGAAGAGGAAGCTGGAAGCAAGCCCTTCCATAATGTACTGTCCATTTACTCTGCAAACAAAATGTGCAAATATTAAAGAAAATTAGGTATTATTACAGTTGTAGTGTTATCTGTTATATCTGGTAATAGTATCTGGTAATAGTATTTATATATGTATATGTACTTATATGCATATGTACAAGCACGTGTGTGCACACACACACAGACATAGTAGCAATTCTATAGCAAAGGGCACAGGAGAAAAAGAAGGAAATTCCTAGTTCCATGTTGCAGGAGATCTTGCCTCTTGTTTGGAACCAGAGTAATTGTCATTCAAATACCGTGAGAGTTCTCCTAGTAAAAGGGGATCACTCCTCTACAATTTAGTAGAAACAAGAGATGGGCACAAACCACTGGTTCTGCATTTCAGTGCAATTCATTTCCTGGCCAAACAGGGGATCCATGGTTCAGCACTCCACTCCCTCCAGTGGGATCACACTTGGAGGCAAAGCCACCTCCTCCAAACCATCTCTAATATAAATGAATCCCGACAAATTACAGTGGACCACGGAAAACTGCTATCACTCATCTGTTCCATTTTGATATTATTGTCAGATATCTAAAAATAACCAATGAAAGTCCCATCTTCAAGTTCCCACTGTGCCATCTCTTGTTGTCTTATAGCACTGCTTCCCAAAGGGGAAGCTTCTCCTACTCCTTGTAGCAACATGTGTAATGATTTGGTTCCTATCCTTGATAGACAGTCCAGAAATATCAAGGATTATTACATGAGATCAGCTAAAGCTTCACACTGTATGCTGAAAGGGACTGGCTGATATATTAAATTTATGGAAGCCTTGCATTTACTGAACGGTGACCTGGAATTCCATGCAGACCTATCTTTCTCCGTGGCTAACATGGAAAACAAAAGGGCTGGTCAAAGAGAGATGGACTGTTCTGTTTCTTATAATCTTTGTGGAAAGCAAAAGTTTTTCTGACAGCAGACTGCAGATCGAGGCTACTAACCTCTTAGTAGGCTAATACATTTTGTATATAAGTAATAAGTGTGAGCTTATTTAGAAAGAACTAACATGATGGAGAAATTTCTACCTATTTGTGTACACCCACCAAAGCTACACTGAACCAACATTCTTATATACACCCAGACCAACATGCAAACAGAGTTCCATTGTCAAAATACCACACTGTCTGAATATCTGGAAGGAGACATTATGCTAACGTAAAGCAGATGCTGGTGCCATTTACATAATTTATATTTCTACCTGTAAGCTAAGAACGCCACAGGCCTCTGATGTCCATGTTCATCTGTCATTGAGCCAACACTGGGAGGTTCAACAATCACATCATAAATTATTCCTAAACAAAAAAAAAATTAATTTAGTTTGAGGGGACAGAAATTTACTCTTAAACAGCAATGGCTCAGTTTGTCTTTTATAAAAGCTTTTGATTTTTCTCACCAATGCCACCCTACTAGGTTTCAATAATATAAATGGAAAAATCTTTGTGTTCTGTAGAGGTATTGACACCAAAGGATTATGGAGTGCTATTAAAGTTGCTGGAATTGATGTGTAGCATGAGGATAATTAACAATTACTCATAGTGGGTCAATCTAATTATGGAAACAAATAGTGCACTGAACAGCACTTCATCACTGATGGACAGCAGAATGCAAGGTAGCATTCTCTGGCCACAATTACATACAAACTTTAAAAAATGCTAGATCTTAGACATCCTTTTCTTTCTGGAGCAGGAAAACACGGGGAGGAGCTGGCATGAAATGCAGCTGATAGCAAACAGTATAGAAATCCAGGACTGTAGCACAGACATGATTGGACAGCAACATAGTTTCCCCCTACCTCATCTCCTTGGCCCTCAAAAAGATGGAATCATGCTCTGAGCAAGGTATGATATCAGGTGAAAACTATGGTAAGTTTCTGTCCATTCATTTCAATCTATAGAGTACAGTAGCCCACAGCTGCTGTCCCTTACTACAAGTTGTGCAAAATAGAACAGCTATGCTAAGTGGTTTGTGTGACAGACATCTGATGTAATCTGTTATCATTACCTCCATACTACATTTGTGTGTATAATGCATATGGGGTGTATTACATTAGTTTTCAGCAACACAAGCCACGATTAATATTGCAGGTAGTATGAACACACTGAAGCTAAGATAGGTAGTGACATACTACACCTCTACAATGGAGTTTGATAGTTATAATTCCACATTACAAGTACAGAAAAATGTAAGAGTACTTTGCAACCACCCCAGAATTTAATCTCAGCACTGTGATCAATTTAGGGATAGATAACTCTATTTCACAGTCACCAGTAAAGGTAAAGGTAAAGGTTCCCCTTGACAATTTTTGTCGGGTACAGTAGTCCACAGCTGCTGTCCCTTACTACAAATTGTGCAAAACAGAACAGCTATGCTAAGCGGTTTGCGTGACAGACATCTGATGTAATCTGTTATCATTACCTCCATACTACATTTGTGTGTATAATGCATATGGGGTGTATTACATTAGTTTTCAGCAACACAAGCCACGATTAATATTGCAGGTAGTATGAACACACTGAAGCTAAGATAGGTAGTGACATACTACACCTCTACAATGGAGTTTGATAGTTATAATTCCACATTACAAGTACAGAAAAATGTAAGAGTACTTTGCAACCACCCCACAATTTAATCTCATCATTGTGATCAATTTAGGAATAGATAACTATTTCAAAGTCACCAACTTTTACAATAATCCAGTTAAACAGTGCTTTTAAATGCTGCAATGCAAGGTTCTATGGCCCACACCAGAGTCATTTCCAGTCATAATTGGTCTGGCTTTTGAACATTTAAACACACACTGCAATCTTTATGTAGTTTAGTGCCAAACTCATTACAGTTGTACATTCACAGCTGGCCCTACAGCTTGTCACAAAAAAATGGCTATCTCCCCAATTCTAGGGATCATAAAAAGGATCAAGTTATGATTGAACATTACAATCATATTTTTTTTCTGTAAAGGAAAAAAGGAATACAGTACAAGGTAAGAGAAACTGTTTTGGGTACTTTGCACCTCAACTTGAGGGGAAGCACCATTATCTTGGGTCTGCTTTGGTTAAACATCACGTGAGTTCTCAATCAAAAGGAAACATGCTTTGTGGCTCACAGTGGTTCCCAACCTTGGACCCCCCCATATGTTCTTGGACTACAAATCCCAGAAACCCCAGCTAGCACAGCTAGGCGCAAAGGCTTCTGGGAATTTTAGTCCAGGTACATCTGGGGACCTAAGGTTGGGAACCACCAGCTAGCACAGCTAGGCGCAAAGGCTTCTGGGAATTTTAGTCCAGGTACATCTGGGGACCTAAGGTTGGGAACCACTCCTTCAGCATGAGATTTCCTTTTTAAAAATTGTTTGCAGACTTGTTCTTTTACTGAACAACCAAGCCCAAAGCCTAAATGATCATGCAGGCCATAAGAAAAACAAGCAAACCAAAATACACATTATTAGGGAAATGTCTTTACTACTGCAGCCCCCAAGGCCTAAAAACAAAAAAATAATGTTAGCATGAGATTTCCTTTTTAAAAATTGATTGCTGACTTGTTCTTTTACTGAACAGTAAACAGTCTTCCAACCAAGCCCAAAGCCTAAGTGATCATACAGACCATAAGAAAAACAAACCAAACAACCAAAATACACATTATTAGGGAAATGTCTTTACTACTGCAGCCCCCAAGGCCTAAAAACAAAAAAATAATGTGCAAGCTTTCGGGCTCTTGAACCGTATGCATATTTCTTCAGCCAAAAAAGTGTGCAAAGGGCTGGGGAGGGGGGGGAAATATGCGAGGTTTTTGGGCGAGTGAGCAACCTCTTCCTTAGGCCCGAAACGAAGCAAGTCGGCTTTTTTGGGGAGGGGGGGGCGGCCTCCGGCCCTTCGAGCTCCTCGGAATTAATTACCTCCCGTGATGAGGAAATAGGAAACCACCACCAAGGCATAGACGGTCATGGCCGAAGGCATGTGGACCCAGCTTGGACGCTTCAGCTTGATGTTCGGACACTCCAGCACCGCGAACGGCACCCGGTACAAGGTCTCCATCTTGCCTGTGGTTCCAGCCCTGTCTCGTCCCGTCCGGGGGTCTCGGACCAAAAAAAAACCAAAAAACTCCCCACCGCCGCTTTCACGCCCACTGCGCTCCGTTCTCGCGCTGACCCCTCGCGGCCACCGTTCCTAAGATAACTGGACGGCATTCCGAGAAGGCAGCCCACGAGCCGCGTCCTGGAAGGTAAATAAGACAAAAACGTCCTAGGAGCACGTGAAGCAGCAAATTCAGGGCGCCAGGCAGCAAAGGAGGCAGAATAAACACTTAGGATAAAGCGTTACACACATAACAGACAATTTTTCTTCCTCTGTGTAACTGCGGTGAAACTACCGAACGTTATATTGACCTGCCAGCTCCTAGAAACGCTCGACGTGTCCTTTTCAGGAATCCACGTAGCCCTGCCAGAAACCCACACGGTGGGAGAGGCGGACGACGTGTAAGCCACGCCCTCTGGTATAAGGCCCGCCTATACTCAAAGCCGGCGAAGCTGATTGGCAGGGCTTTGAACTAGAAGAGCTGAAATAAACGTGTAGTTACTGTATGTTCGAAGCAAACCGCTTTTATTCTTAGACAAATCGTGCTTGATTGCGGGATTGCAGTTTTGTATTAGCAAATCTTTGCTAGGAAAAGTTGAAGACAGCAGGAAAGAGAAGTACCAAATATGAGGTGGATTGACTCCATAAAGAAATCACAGTCGGCAGTTTGCAAAGACTTGGGCAGGGCTGTTAAGGATGCAGTACTTTGGAGGTCAGAGATTTATAAGGCTGCCATGAATCAAGGTTACTTGACGGCACACAACAGCAGCAGCAACAAGCATTTCTTCTAGCTCTTAATTTAAAAACAAACCCTGCTTTCAAAACAAAATCCCGTAGAATGCATTCAGATTAAGGTTGCAGTACTACACGAGCAGTAAGCCTTTTAACCTTTCTAATTAATGTACAGCCTAATGAACATTTGTTTTAGACAACACTTTGAGCCTTTTATGCCAAAGGATGTGTGCTGTTGTGCACCTAGGTCTCTTTGCCATCAGGGATTTCTTTAATCAAATAAACCCTTTTGAGTAGAACTAAAATAATAAGCACAAGTAGAATTGCAGCCTTTTCCTTTAAGGAGCCAGGACACTAAGTGTACCAAGAAGTCTTTGTGCACTCAGGTCAATTCTGCCTTATGGTAACCTTTTTCCAGGTTTAGAATACTCAGAAGTGGTTACCATCCCCCTCTTCTGAGAGCATCCTCGGACTGCACTTGTCCAAGGCTATACAGGCTGGCTTTACTTGCAGGAGGCACAGTGGGGAATCCAACTCCCAACCTCTGGTTCTACAGCCAGATACCTAAGTCACTGAACTATGCAGCCAGCAGTCTTAGTATTTAGGCTTCAAGAAATGCAACATTTTCATAGTCGCATCAGTATGGCCTCTGTAAGTAATGGACTATCATGGAGTTCAAACATTGACTCCTACCTTGCCTCATACTCCATCACGAGTGTTTGGACTATGTTGAGGTGAGCAAGAGGAGAGGCTTTTGTGTCACATCAGTAATTGTGGCTCAAGTCAGTTTAAGCAAGGGCATTGCCAATGTGATCTGTACATCTGATTATGTAGCTATCATGAAGTACTCCACGTATACCTGCTCTTAAGAAGGTGAAACTGTCTACACATTCCTTTCTCCAATAAAGTGCTAGGCAATAGTATCAACTAAAATATTTTAATTTATCATGTTCATGTGGAATATTCATGATACTGAAAATGGAAGCAGAGAACATGTTCAACACCCTGCCTGTTGGCCTGTGGTGTCCTTAAGAGTTCTGTTTTGTCCTCTGTGCTATTTAACATCTACGTGAAACTGCTGGGGAGAGATTATCCAGAGTTTTGGGGTTCGGTTCACCAGTAAGTAGATGATAGATACCCAACTCTATCTCCTTTATCTAAATCTAAAGAAGCTGTTTTGGCTCTAGATCAGTAATGGAGTGGATGAGGGCAATTAAACTGGAATGTAATCCAGACAAAACAGAGTTGTTCCTGGTCGATCGAAAGGCAGATCAAGACGTTAAAATACAATAAGAATAAACAACCAATACAAAAACAGGTAAAAGAAAAAAGACGATAAAGAAATAAGAGAATCAAAAAGTAGTTTTATGAGAAGGCCTGCCGAAACATCCAGGTCTTTAATAGATTCTTGAAAGTGCCCAGCGAGGGAGCTCCGCGAATGTCAGGAGGTAAGTTATTCCACAGGCGAGGAGCCATCGCCGAGAAGGCCCTATTTCTTGTTTTCTCTTTCCGGGCCTCCCTCGGGGTTAGGCTCCTCAGCCTCACCTCCTGGCTCGCCCGTGTGATCCGGGTAGAACTTGGTGGGAGTAGGCGTTCCGCCAGGTATCGAGGCCCTAAACCGTTTAGGGCTTTATACGTAAGCATTAGCACTTTGAAGTCGATGCGGAACCTGATGGGCAGCCAATGCAATGCGGCCAGAGTGGGCGAAATATGTTGGAATTTTTTCACTCCACTAAGTAATCTGGCCGCCGCATTCTGCACCACCTGTAATTTCCGCAGCAGCCTCAAAGGAAGCCCCATATCAGTGTTTGATATCAGTAATGGAGTGGATGAGGGCAATTAAACTGGAATGTAATCCAGACAAAACAGAGTTGTTCCTGGTCGATCGAAAGGCAGATCAAGGAATAGGATTCAACATGAGCTGGACCGGGTTACACTCCCTCCAAAAACAGGTGAACAGCAGCTTGGGAATACTCCTGGATTTGTATCTCAGCCTGGATGCTCAGCCTTTGGCAGTGGCCAGGAGTGCACTTGCAGTTAAAACTAGTGAGCCACTTGCATCTGTTCCTGGAGAGGTCTGATCTGGCCATGGTGACTCATGTCTTAGTTATAACCTGTTTGGATTACTGCAATGCACTCCACATGATGCTGCCCTTTGTAAAGTGTTTGGAAACTTCAGCTGGTCCAAAATGTAGCAGCCAAATTGTTAACTGGGGCTGGTTACAGGAATCACATAACCTCCCTGTTACAGCAGCTCTACCGTCTGCCAATCCACTTCCAGGCAAAATTTGAAGTGCTGGTTTTAGCCTCGTCGTCGTTCAGTCGTGTCCGACTCTTCGTGACCCCATGGACCAGAGCACGCCAGGCCCTCCTGTCTTCCCCTGCCGGTTTTAGCCTACAAAGCCCTAAACAGCTTGGGTCCAAGCTACTATCTCAAAGACCATGTCTCCCTTTATGAGCCTGCTTGTAGGTTAAGGTCATGAGAGGCTTTAATCTCAGTCCCACCACCGTCACAGGTATGTTTGATGGGACACTTGAGAGGGCTTTCTCAGTTGCTGCTCAGACTTTGGAACTCCCTCCGACGGGAGGTCAGTCTGGCTCCATCTTTGCTGTCATTCTGAAAGCCAAGACCGTCATCTTCAGGCAGACATTCTCTTAGTGACTGACTGCCTGAGTGGGATTCTTAAATGTATTGTACCATTTGTTTTTAAATGTGCGTTTAGTATTGATTTTATTTACCATTTTAAGTATATATATATATTCTAAAAATATTTATATAGTGACTGTTTTTGTTTTTAAGTACCCTGTATTTTTTCTGTTACCTTTTTCATGAGAAAAGGGGGTTAAAATATTTTAAATAAAATAAAAATAAATAACTTTCCAACTCTGAGTCTATGGTATCAAGTCATAATCATCTTATCAAATAAATTTATATATACAAATAGATTGTCACCACTGAGCCTCCATTATCACATTTGTTATTGACTTCTTTTTCAATAA